GAAAAAGAGAAGACTTACGTTATTAAAATCAAATGTAAGTTATGCGATCTTCATCAAAATAAAATATTATCCAAAAACAATAGTGCCGTAAGGGCAACTGCCCAACGGTTTATAAATAATACAAGTCATGTTAAAATATTTTAACATGTTACTATATTTTAATTAAGTTGATATATAATTAAAAATAAAAATATAGTTCAATAAATAAATTAAATTTATTCTTAACAAAGATTACCTCATATTTATTCTTTTTTTTATTTTATTAAGTTAAATTGCTTACAAACGAAAAAAAAAAAAAGAGTTTTGTAATTATACGTAGAATGAAAATACTTTTGAGTTTGTTTATAAGTTAAGGAACTTAATTTTTAATAAACAAATTTTTACGAACGTTTATTATAAACAGATACGATTCAATTATTAAATATACTTATATATAATACGATTATATACTTAATATTAAAAATATATACTTATATATATATACTTATATAAAAATATACTTATATATAATACGGTTCATTATTAAATATACTTAAATTATTTCAGTTGAGTATTTTTATAAGTTTGCACGATTAAAGTTTGGCATACAAGTATTTGTTTTTTTGTTTTAAGAATAATTAATAAAAGAGTTTGCATAATTAAGACTTTTATATTTAATTTCATTTTTTTTTAATTTCCTAAAATTAAAAAAAAAAAAGATTTAATCGTTGAAAACGATTTTTCTCTATAGCTCTGTTTCTTTGTGATAGTTTAAAAAGTTAAATATTTTTACAATAATATAAAAAGTTTATGAATTAAATTCCTAGCGAACGCGTTCTAAACTACGTATCAAAAATACGCTTCAAAGCAGACAAAACTTTTTTATATTTTTATAAAACGCAAGTTGAAACGCTTTAAAAAAATTTAAAAAATATTTAAAAACTTAAATTTTTCTTTGCAAGTCAAAACAAAATCGTTGTTTAAATAATTAACATGGGTTTGTGTTTATCAATGTTAATATTTTTTGTTTACTCTAGAAATTTTTAAAAATAAAAAAAATCATTATTATTTTTTATTCAATAACGATTAAAAACAATTATTCAAAAACAAATTTCAGAAATAATTAATAATAAAATAACAATTGAAAACATTAAAAAATTTTCATAATAAATTTATATTTAAAACGTTTATAGTTTATATTTGAGTTAATTGTTAAATTGAATTAGTTTGCGGTTATTTATTTATTGCGGTAGTTAAAACACTTAACGCCTATAAAAAAAAATAAAGATAATTTTATGACGTCAAAATCGCGTTAAGCTAATGCATTAAGCACTTTTTTATTTAAAACAAGGCCTGCACTGTATAAGTGGTCAATGATTTTTTTGCTACCATAGTTTCATTAAAAAAATTTCATATTTCATTTTTAGATTCTGCTAATTTATTAGGTTAAAAGTCCGATAATTGCAATATTTAGATGTGTTTTTTCTGTTTCAAAAAAAAAAAAAGGTTTAACAAATAGGCTTTTACCATATTACTTAAAAACTTTAAAATGTTCTGCCAAATTTTTTTAAAATTTTTAAATTTCGTATTTTGCCAAAAAACTAAAGTTAACTTTGCTAAGAAGGGATGTTTTACAATCATTCTATCTTTGGAAAAAGCAAATTTTTTATACATTCCATTGTTATAAAAATTATCTACAAATTTTCAAAATTAAGTTTCATAGCGACATTCATTTTTTAAAAACGTTCAGTTAGTAACCGAAGAACAGTCACGTAACATAATTTCGTAAAAAAGATATTTTTTTAAACTCAATTTATTGACCAAAAGAAAAAATGAGGTAGCCAAAATAAATGGAAAATTATTTATATACTACTGCATTTAAAACTAAAAATTTTAATTCTATTTTAAATAAAAAAGCAAAAGAAAAATTAAAATAATTTTTGGCACTTTTTCTTGGGCGCCCATACTGCTCTAGTGGTACTATAAAAGGTCTGGGTTGGTCCCTGGATGGATTGATTTATATTATCAATGTAGGAAGTAATTTATTCACTCCAATTGTTAATGTTTCACTTCTTAAAAATATAGCAACTTTGTGGATAAATAAAGAATTAAAAGATCTTATCAGAAAAAAGAATCTACGTTATAAAAACTGTTCTGGTAAATGGAAAGATGTGGAAAGATGTGTTGTCTTGTAAAATCAGAAGTGAAAAATGCCTGTCTTGCTTACAAAAGAGATTTAGTATTAAAATCTAAGAAGAATCATAAATTGCTTTGAATCAAGAGTACAAAGTTGCACTAGCAGATTTAATGATCTTTCTCCTGAAAAAATAACATGCAATAATATTTTAAATTGACTTTAGAAACTTGATCAAAACAAAGCACGGATGAAGATTATCCAGACAATCTTCATCCGACACTGCTCAAAAGTTCTTCAAACACGTTTGCTCTACCACTTACAATAATTTTTTAGGGAATCTTCAGTTACTAGTCAACTGCCGATTCAATTTAGATCTGCAAACGT